TCAGCTCACTGCAGCTTCCACCTCCCTGGTTCAAGCAATTCTCCTGCCTCAGCCACCCAAGTAGATGGGATTACGGGCACCTGCTATCATGCATGGCTAATTTTTGTATTTTTAGTGGAGACATGGTTTCATCATGTTGGCCAGGCTGTTCTTGAACTCCTGACCTTAAGTGATCCACTTGCCTGGGCCTCCCAAAGTGCTGGGATTAGAGGTGTGAGCCACCATGCCTTACCCTAGTATTATCAAATTTTTTAATGCATAACATTTCTTGACCCACTTTTTCACTTCTAGAAATACATCTTACTGAAATATTAATTAAATGCCAAAAGATATATGTGTTACTGGAATAGCAGAAAAATTGAAAAAAATCTCCAGGCAAGGTGGCTCACGCCTGTAATCCCAGCACTTTGGGAGGCTGAGGCAGCGGATTGCCTAAGCTCAGGACTTTGAGCCCAGCCTGGGCAACACAGTGAAAGCCTGTCTCTACTAAAATAAAAAAAATTAGCTGGGCATGGTGGCATGCGCCTGTAATTCCAGCTACTCGGGAGGCTGAGACAGGAGAATTGCTTGAACCTGGGAGGCAGAGGTTGCAGTGAGCCGAGATCGCACTACTGCAGTCCAGCCTAGGTGACACAGGGATACTCTGTATATAAAAAAAAAAAAAAAAAAATCTACAAACACTTGTTAACTGAGGAACAGATAGTGAAACACTAAGCTGCCACTAAAACAAAGGAGATTGGGCTATAGATATTGACTTGGGAAGATTTCTATGATACATAGTTTAAAAACCATCTAGCAGAACAATTCTTTTTTTTTTTTTGAGATAAAGTCTCACGCTATGGCCCAGGCTGGAGGGCAATGGCACTATCTCAGCTCACTGTGACCTCCACCTCCCGGGTTCAAGCAATTCTCATGACTTAACCACCCAAATAGCAGAGATTATGGGTGTGCGCCACCATGCTGTGCTAATTTTTGTATTTTTAGTAGAGACGGGGTTTTGCCATGTTGGCCAGGCTGGTCTCGAACTCCTGACCTCAGGTGATTCACCTGCCTCGGCCTCCCAAAATGCTGAGATTATAGGCGTGAGCCACCGTGCCCAGCCTAGAACAATATATCTTATATGATCCTTTGCGTTAAAAAAAAAAAAAAAAAAAAAAAAAACTCCACAAAACTATGTATATGTATTTGTGGAGACAGATATTTTTTTCATGTGTTCAATCATTCCAAAATTTATATTGAAAAAAAATTAATATGTAACCTTTTTTTTTTTTTGAAACAGGGTCTTACTCTGTCACCCAGGCTGGAGTACAGTGGCACAATCTCAGCTCACTGCAACATGTGCCTCCTATATAGATTCAAGTGATCCTCCTACCTCAGCCTCCAAGTATCTGGGACCACATGTGTGCACCACCATGCCCGGCTAATTTTCTTGTATTTTTAGTAGAAACGGGGTTTCACCATGTTGGCCAAGCTGGTCTCAAACTCCTGACCTTGTGATCCGCCCACCTCAGCCTCCCAAAGTGCTGGGATTACATGCGTGAGCCACTGCACCCAGCTGATACTGACTTTTAATAGTCTTCATATGTATCTTCCCAGACTTTTTCTATACGTTATTTTAATTATATAAAAACAAAATTTTTAAAGGGGACAGAATTACACATGCTCAGTCTTCTTTTCTTGATAAAACTTTAAATATCTTAGTAAGTTTCATGCAAAAAATAAAATAAAGCCAGGAGCAGTGGTGTGCACCTGTAGTCCCAGCTACTCAATAGTCTTGAGGCATGAGAATTACCTTTGCCCAGGAGTTGGAGCCCACCCTAGGCAAAAGAGCAAGATCCCATCTCGAAAAAGAACAAAAACCTACCAAAACACAAACAAACAAAACCTACATATATACATAATATAAGTGTGTGTGTGTGTGTTTTTTTTTTTAACAGGACAGGGTTTCACTCTCTTGCCCAGGCTGGAGTGCAGTGGCACAATCATAGCTCACTGCAGCCTCAAAGTTCTGGGCTCAAAAGATCCACCTGCCTAAGACTTCCAAGTCACTGGGATTACAGGTATAAGCCACTATGCCCAGAAATAAAAGCTAATTTTGTTTAACACTTAATGTGTATCCAGTATTCTTCTAAGCACTTTACTTGTATTAACTATTTTAATCATCACAGTGATCTTTTGGGTAAGCATTATTATTATCCACATTTTACCAATGAAACTGAGGCACAAAGACATTTTCTCAATATTACATAGTCACAAAGTGGCAGGACCAAAATTAAAACCCAGGTAAGTCTGATTCCAGATCATGCATCTTACCCTTCGTGATTTGACTTGAAAGAATCATTCTTTTATTATTATTATTATTATTATTATTTTTCTATTTAAATCAGCAAAAGAGGTTGGGCACAGTGGCTCATCCCAGCACTTTGGGAGGCAGAGGCAGGTAGATCACCTGAGGTCAGGAGTTCAAGACCAGCCTGACCAACATGGTGAAACCTCATCTCTACCAAAAATATAAAATTAGCCGGGCTTGGTGGCACATGCCTATAATCCCAGCTACTCAGAAAGCTGAGGCAGAAGAATTGCTTGAACCTCAGAGGCAGAGGCTGCTGTGAGCCGAGATCACGCCATTGCACTCAAGCCTGGGCAATAAGAGCGAAACTCCATCTCAAAAAAAAAAAAAAAGTAATTACTATATCATGTAAAGACTATACATAAAGTAATTACTATATCATGTATATTTTCTAGTCATCCCCCAATCCTGAGAACTCCTAGTGAAAAATGGAGTGCCTTTAAATCTAGGAATATGGTTGGGAAATAATTCTTTAATTCTTGTTGAGGGAGCCAGTGCAAAGAGATTATCAGCAAAATATGAACAGGTTGACTCCAGGTGATTTACAAGGCACTTTGGTATGAAGTACAAAGCCTTCTCAAGTTTGTTTGCTTTGAGATTGGTTTATGACACACTGTCTTCTCATCACAAAGAACAAGCTGCATACAAAAGCTAAATGTTTGCTCTCCCCTTTGATCCCACAGATGGATATTAGTCTAATAGTGGGTTCACAAATATGTGTCCTAGAATTACCCAAGTTACTTACTGTAAATTCAGATTCCTAGGTTTCATCGGTAAATATTCTGTTTCTATAAATTTGGGATGGAGCTGATCTCCTGCATAAAGTGCAGGTAATCAAGGGATCACACTTAGACAAACACAGGGTGAAGAAATCAGAAAAAACAAAAACAAAAACAAAAAAACCCCAGTGATTCTATGGTATATTATAGCCCTGACAAGAGAAACCTGTAGCCTAAAAACATGGTTACAAGGCAACATGATATAATTGCCTCAAATCAGCCACAGAATCCTGCTAAATCATGTCTTGAGAAAATAAATTAAAAGAAATTACTATAGATCTGACAATTAAAGTCACAGGATATATTACAAAATAAGTAGGCCACGTGCAGTGGCTCATGCCTGTAGTCCCAGCACTTTGAGAGGCCAAGGTGGGTGGATCCCTTGAGGTCAGGAGTTTGAGACCAGCCTGGCCAACATGGTGAAACCCTGTCTCTACTAAAAATACAAAAAATTAGCTGGGTATGGTGGTGAGCGCCTGTAGTCCCAGCTGCTTGGGAGGCTGAGGCAGAATTGCTTGAACCTGGGGGGCAGAGGTTCTGATGAGCCGAGATCATGTCACTGCACTCCAGCCTGGGTGACAAAGAATGTCTCAAAAAAAAAAGGATAATTTGATCCCAATTAGAATTTTTAAAAAAAAGTTAGAAGGCTCTACAAAAATGCTAGTACTGGTTCTCACAAGGTGGTGTGATTTGGGTTAATGTTAATTCCTTTTCTTTGCACTGTTTATATTTTCCAGATGTTTTACAATAAGTTTTTTATAATTTTAAAGGTTTTTTTTTAGGGGGTATCACTTAGGCATGTAGTAAGTAAATATAGTTCTGACTTTGGTGGATAATTTTACAAGAGAAAGTAGTAGGTTTCATAACAGAGTCATAGTTTATTGTGGTGCTCGCTTCAGCAGCACGTGTACTGAAACTGGAATGACAGAAGATTAGCATGGCCCCTGCACAAGGCTAGCATATATATTCATGAAGTATTCTGTATTTAAAAAAAATATGAGGTTGGGTGTGGTGGCTCACACCTGTAATCCCAGCACTTTGGGAGGCTGAGGTGGGTGGATGACAAGGTCAGAAGTTCAAGACCAGCCTGGCCAAGATGGTGAAACTCCATCTCTATTAAAAAACAACAACAGGCCGGGTACGGTGGCTCAAGCCTGTAATCCCAGCACTTTGGGAGGCCGAGGCGGGTGGATCACGAGGTCAAGAGATCGAGACCATCC